CCCTTAGGATGCACTTGCTCTTTCTGTAGTTTTCAGTCATTTCCATTTGTGTTGGTCTGTTGGAAAGGAGAATTAAACTTCCAAATGATGACACTTCAGTTAATAATTTATTTAAGAAAATATTGCTTAGTTTGGGATAATATGTAAGACTTTAATTTTGTTCATTCCAACTAGTTTCCATTTTCTTCCAAAGACTAATTTTTAATAACTTTATCATGTTTCTCTACATTAAATATTTTCCTGTTCCTCCACATGTTTTTTCAAGTATGACCTACAATGTAAAGATTGAAATAAGAAGTCTTTGATTATTGAATGTGGATAACAAAAAGCTTTGGCCTCATTTATTAACTGCTTTCAATAAAGAATGTAATTATTACGAGGTTATTACTAGGTTTTCTTCAATTTCACGTCATCTTAATTATAATATGCAATCCTTAGTTATGTTACTTTCAAATCAATTCTTTAAAAAGTATTTTGTAAAAAAAATTTTAAAAAGTATTTTGTGATTTCCTTTTTATCTTCTCATGTTAAACAACCTATGTAAGTTAACTATTGAAGTTCTATGAGAGACACGGAAGACAAAAGAAGAGAGTATAGTTGGAAAAAACTCATTTGGTGAGAGGTTTTTGACGGTTCATAAGGATTGAGACTCAGTTTCTGCTCTTATAAAATGGTCTTTTTGAAAATGCTTTCTACTGCTTTATTTACAGAGTTTGAATACATTGTTTTTGACACTGGATCTTTCCCATGTGTTTCACCTCTCCCCCCACCATCAAATTGTGCGATCTTATGATTAACCACCCCTCTTCTCCCATCCTTACCCCTCTGCTTCCCTCCACTCCCTTGGATCCTCGTATTCATTCTATAATAATGGTTTTATCCAGTATTTGTCCTTATGGGACCTAGTTAGTTCACTCAGCATAATGCTCTCCAGTCCCTCCCAAGTAAAGTAGTAATTTACAAGGTCATTGCTCCTGAGTGCTGCATAGTATTCCATTGTATGAATGTGTCATAATTTCTCAATCCATTCAATTGTGGTTGGATATCTGGACTGTTTCCCTGTTATTGTGATGGTGAATAATGCTGCTATGAGCATTGGTGTACAAGTCTCTGTTTGTGCCTCAATTCTCATTATCTCAGTGAATATATATTTAAGGTGGTCTTTAAGGTGATGTCCTTAGGGAGTTAAGCTGCAAACTCAAAGGCTGCACCTTCCCAGGAGTTTGAATCTATCAGCCTCTTGAGAGATAGAAGGACAGTTTCCCCTCTGTGCAATTGAAAGCTTTTGGAAATCTGCTGTAGGGTCAATTCTGAGTTAGTTCCAACTCAATGAGTTTTTGAGTTTTCATTTTTATGTTATACAATGCTCTGACAATTCTATGTGGCATAACAGAATAGAATCTGATTAAATGCAACATGGTATTCAGAAATCCCCTTTTAAAGTTGGTGTGAAAAATACATAGATCAATATAGAGCATTTTTCTATGAACATGGTTCTATGAATAAGAATTAATAGATATGTCTCCTAACTTTCTTTGCCTTATTTCATTACATGTCATTGTAAGCATTCTTCTCACATACCTTCTCAAGATAAAATTTTGACAGCCCTTTTAACAGGTGCGGAATATGTTTAGTGTAATTATGGCAATCCTACTCTGTCTTTTTTTGTTGTTTGCTATGAGTTATAATTGAATGGTTAACAGTGGAATCACACTCCAAGACTAATTTAAAAGACAAATGGAGGCCAACTGAATCATGCCATTCTTCCAGTGTGCTTTCTTAATTCTTCTTTTTAGAGAACATGAGTTGATACTATGTTGTGTTTGGAGAACCTATGTTGTGATGTTTTGAAACGATCCCAAAATAACCATCTAATGATATAGACTATTTCCCCAACAGTAAGTACTAAGCAATTGAAATTCAAGAAAAGCTACTTATTCTTAGGAAATTGCACTTTCCCAGTGTGTCTCAAACCTTCTTAGAGGAGAAACAAATAGAGAAAAATATTAAAATAAAGTATGTTTTCATCTTTCTAGTAGAATTACATGCAGTGAGCAGTGAAAAAATTCTATATCATAAACCTTCAGGGTTCTTGGCAATGTACTCGTATCTGAATCCTTATGAATTAAGTATATTCTTTGAATTACTTCAAGTTAAGTGCTATTCAGCACTATTCTTGGTGATCATTGATTTTGCGGATTCTTAGTAAATTTTTTATTGCAATTTGAATGAACATTTGCAAAGCATATTAAGTTTTCTTTCAACCTTTCACACATGCCTTGCTTTATGACGTTAATTACAATGGGAGCACTGGTGACCTAGTGGCAAGAAGCTGCGCTGCAATCCTGAAGGCACATGGTTCAAGGCCACCAGCTGCTCCTTGGGAGAAGGATGGACAATCTTTTCCCATCACAGTCTTCCTTCTTCTTTTCTTTGACTCCTATTTCCATTAATCCTTCTTTTCTACACCTTTGTGCCTTCAAGACTTTGTCTTTGGACAAATCCTGTTCTTTTGACCCTTTATGATTGGTTATACTAAGGAATGAGCACTTTCCATTGTTATTGATCACATTATAGAACTGTCTAGCTTGGCTGAAAGTTGAGCCACAGGAGGAAGGTATGAAGGGTAATTAAGGGACTTAGACTTGGGGGATTCACCAGTCTCTATTGCATAAGTTAGACCAACCTCTTTTATGCTTTTATGTTCTTGAGTTACCATATACATTTCTCCCTCCTCTCTTCAGGGTCTTCTACCTGTGATCCCTTTAAGAGGATCTACCAGTAGCAACCAGGCATTATTTAGTTCTTCTGGTCTTGGTGTTGTGGACGTTGAAGTTCAAGTTGTCCCTTAGTTTTCAGAGTAAATTTTTTTTTTAATATTAACTCTGTTTTTCTTCCCTGGCAAAAGAGCCAAAAGTGGTTGTACCTTAGATGGCTGTTGTAGAACGTTTAAGATACTAGTTCCTAGTCACCAAAATAAGATATGGAACAGTGTCTTTGTGGACTGTGTTATGCTATTTGGTCTTTATGTCCTCTAAGGCTTTGGTCCTAAGACACCAGGAAAAGCATCACAGTCTCTCAGATTGGTTATGGTTAAGAAAGTGACAAAGCAATGCTTCCTTTTACTCTTCTACAGATATAGATAAGCTAATATGAGTGTAAAAATATATCATGTCCCAGTTCTGTATATCATCATGAATATAGTCACTTCCCCCTGACCGTTTCTCTTGGTCTTGCCTGTCTGCCTATATTTAACAGCTAGCCTGCAATATTTCTTGCACATCTCATTTTGAGGTTTCTCCAAATGTCACTATTTTCTAGTAGTGTGCAGACTTCACAACCCAATGTTTCTAATGTCAGTTTGTTTTCTTTTTCCTAATCTGTCCTGCAGAACTCTGGTGTCTTAATAGTAAGAGTTTGCTTTGCCAGCCAAAAAGCTTGTGCTTCAAATACAGCAGCTGCTTCATGGGAAAAGATGAGCTTTCTCCTCTCAGAAAACCAACCAGAGGGCCAGTTAGGAATTGGGTCCAACTCAATGGTGCATAATAATATCAACCTACCCTGAATATATTTTTAGATTTGCTTTTAATCAATCATACGTCTCACCTGAAAAGTTGTTTCCTTCTGAGAAATCCTAGATAGATTGCCATCTAAGATTTTTATCGTATATGCAATAATTTAATCTTTTCCTAGACATGCAATATTCATACTAGCTTATTTTCACTCTATCTCTGCTTTTTAGAAATGATTATTTATTATTTTATACTCTGTTTATGTCATATTGTAAATTACTCTTCATCCTCTTTGCACTGAATTTTCTTACCTTGCCTTTATTCGCTTGTCTTTCTTCCTTGACTGAGCTTGATTTCTCCATCCTAAATTTCAGGAACATTTGCTTTGATTCAGTGAAGTCACCTTGTTTCTGCATCAAGACATAAACATTCTTTTATCTTAATTTTCAGACATGTTTGTGCATATTACCAAATAAAGATAGGGAAGAGCTTGGTAGTTCCTCATATGATGAGCCTTCTCTTTTATTATTATGATTTTAAAATATTTTAAGTTCTTTCTAAAAACACAAGACCCCACTACACTAGCTTCACACCTTTTCTCAGTATCAAATATCAAAACCTCAATCCCATTGCGATCAGGTTGATTTTGACTCTAGTGATCCTCCACCAGGTTTCTGAGGCTATGGAACTTAGAAAACCCTGTCCCTCCGCGTCCCTTGGAGTCACTGGTAAATGCGTTCAGTCCACCAGAGATCTGTGACCTTTCTGGTTTGCAGCATGACACACCACAGACTATGCCACCAAAGTATTTTGTAATAAGTTTAGCCCTCTTCTAAACAGAAAGGCTAACTAGTTAAACCGAAGACACCTAAGAAAGGGAGTAATGAGTATCTGTACAGAGCAGAATATCATGTCAGAGACCATTGCAAAGCAGTGACATCCCAGCAAATATGATTTGTTGTGCTTTCTTTTTCAGAAGTGATGTAAAATTGGATCATATTTTTCTTTCTTAAAAAAATTATTTCATATTAGTTTGCTTACAAAGTTGGTATACATTTTACACTGCCCTTCATTTGCTATTATGTTTCGTACAGTCATTCCCATTCATTATGTTTTATAAAATTAATCACCATTGAACTATGACTTTCATTACCCTGTCTTTCCAGATCCCTGCCAGATCTTTCCCATTTCCTTTCAATCCCCTTCCTTCATTTGCCAAATTGTGCAACCCAATGACTTTCACCCCTCTGTTCCCACCCTCCCGCCCTGGGATCCTCATACACAGTTTCCTAGTGACCTTTCTTTTCCGACAATAATGGCCTTACTTGTGAATATCTGTACTTCTGGGACTGATGTAATTCTCTCGAGTCCTTCCCAATTTATGTAGTAATTTTTGAAATCATTGCTCCTGAGTGCTGCTGCATAGTGTTCTATCCTGTGAAAGTAAAATTAGGTCATATTAATTTATATTTGTTTTTCATTCTGTAGGTGATTTTCTTCCACCACCACCTCCACCTGTTGATGATCCTAGTGCCCTTCCACCTGGTTCTGGAAACTTCCCTCCTCCACCACCGCTTGATGAAGGAGCTTTCAGAGTGCAGGTAATATCTGTGATTGAAGTCTTGTTAGGAGACCATGTGCCCGAGGATGGTCCTTGGGGTGAATACATATTTATCTAGTTCCTTCAGAGTGCTTTACAATCCCTTAAGAGTTAAGATATTTCAATGAAAAGTGTTACACTCCAACTTCTTAGAGTTCTTCAGCTTGTACTCTGGAGCTTTGGCAGGCTTTCACATACCAATATTGTTTTGAAATTGCCATTTCATAGCGAAGCAATTGGAGATGTCCATGCTTTCTTATTATTCTAGAACACACAGCCATGCTTCCCCCCCACTTTTTAATCATGTCCCTTCCCCTTCAAATGTACTTCTATAGTACATTAAAAAAACAAGATTGAGATTTAAAGCCTTGGTTAATACTTGTTGGTTTGAATTGGTCAGAAATTTCTCGATAGCAAAAACAATGGCAAACCCCCGAAGTCTTTATCTTATCTCTAATTTCAAGAATAATTTTTACATGTATTGTTTATTTAGAAGTTTTATGCCTTGGGAAGTTTCCATTGCAAGGTAACTCAGGATTGGAGCAAGAGGGGACATCAGAAATGGTTCTCCAACTGTGTTTATAGGTAGGTGGACAGTAGTCATTTATGACATCCATTACTGGATGTCATTTATGCCAGGAAGGAAAACAATATGACAAAGCTACAGAATTCTTATATTTTAGATGGTGTTATTTTAGACATATTGTCGGGTGGCAGGGGGGTATTTGTGGAGAAACACATGGAGATGTTTTTGAGGAAATATAAAGATTTTTGCATTTGCTTCAAAATATTAAGTCTAAGAGGCTGCTGAATGAAAACAAATTAAGTATCTCGATAATGGATGAATGGAGGTGAATGAATGGAGGTTTACTTGCTCATTTGATAAATGTTCTTGTTATGTGCTGTCGTGTCAGCTATGACCCATAATGATCCCATGAACAAGGGCTCTAGCCTTGCCCTATCCTGAGCTGTCCTCACCATCTCTGACACAGCTCACCCCATGGCCATAGTCACTGTGTCAATACATCTCCATTTTCCAGTTATTAGTGGCTGTTTACAACTATTCCTCCTCATTTTTGTGTTTCCTATTATGAGATTGGAGCCTTCGCTGTTCCATCTAATCATCTGAGTGTGCTCTATTGTTCATATGGTTATTGAAGGCCCATCATTTCAGAAGTGAATAGCCAGTTCTTCTTCCTAGATGGTCCTAGAGCTCAGCTTTAGTGTAGTATCTGACAGATTAACATTGTACCCCAAAGAGCAGATGATGCACAAATATATATACATATTAAGCTATTACAAGTAGTAACATATAATACACATGTATATATTGTTGTTGCATCGTCTGAGTTGGAACTAATCTGTAGGTGACCCTGTAGCAGGTTTTCAGAGATAGTTAAATCTCACAAGAGGAGAGTGCCTATCTTTTTCCTGTGAAGCAGCTGGTGGATTTGAACTCTTTGCCTTTGGGATTGTAGTACAGTTTTACACACACACACACACACACACACACACACACACACACACCCCTACACGTACATATGTACATACACATATGTTGTTATTAGGTGCTGTAAAGACTCCAAGGAGCCCTGTGAAGGCAAAGAGGATGAAAGCTTGTTTCATGTACTTTATACGTGTTGCTAGGAGAAGTTAGGACATCATAGTTGGAAAGGTGGCGGGATGGTGAAAAAGAGGTGGACTCACAAACAGGTGGATTGTCAAATCGATAGCAGCTTTACATTTGAATGTGTCTGAAATTGTGAGGATGGCACAGTATAGGACAGGGTTCAGATCTGTCGTTCATAGTGTTGCTAAGATCCATTCTCAATGGCACCTAACAAAACAATAATTTACAATTAAATAAAGTACAGATGCTGTTACAGTTGTAAAGTGGAAATGATTACAGAGATTATCCTGATGTTATAATGATGTGTACTACATAAAAATAACAATGACTGCAAGACTTTGCCCCTGGGTTCCGTAAATGGAGGGTGGTGGTGAATCAATCAAGGAGATTTCATAAAATCTCAAGATATCTTATTTCTGTGTAGGTTTTTCCCTGGTAACTCTACTACAGGCACAACTTTGTTTTTGAAATAGAAGGAAATAAACAAAAAGTCTGTTGCCATGTTGGCGTACGCTCTATGCCTAACAGAAGGAAGGATAATGAAAAATAAAATGGTGTTTGCCCAATGGAAAAGGACAAATCTGGTAGGGAGAGGCGTGTTGTTTTGAGACTCTTCATATGGAAGACTGTTGGTGAGTTTAAAAGAAAATGGTCATGCTTCCCACTGTGCAGTGACCACTTGGGTGTAATAGAGACTTAGCCCCTCTATGACCATGTTTGCACTTCATTTTAGATATGATTTATAATGTAAGCTAAAGTAATACAGTCACTGGAGAGAATTGTGTGCTCTTTTCTCCCAGCTATGGTTAAATTTCAAGTTGCCAAATCCAAATTATAACTGGTAAATGTGTATTTTTATGTAGAAGTCTGTTTAGGTTTCCAGCCAGACTCTCAGGTCAGAGCCAAAAGTATGTCTACCAAGTGTGACTATAAGAACTGTAAGATTTGCAGAGCTGAAAGGGGCTTTACAGATCATCTAGTCCAACTCTGGCACCTAGCATCCAGTAGTGGCCCTTTCCAGGCTTGGCTGGACGAGTGAACTTCCTCTCTTTGCCAGGGGGGAAGCTGAGACCCAAGGAGCTGTGGATGCTGTCATTTCTGACAGAGCTTTTGCTGAATTTGAGAACTCTTGACTCCTGCCTTTGCTTTTCTCCCGCTGTCCAAGATGGCCAACACTGCACACACAGTTCTGTTCTAGTCCTCCCATCCACCTGGACGGCTCTGAGCAGGAGAAGAGATCAGGAAGGCCAGATGCCCCAGGAGTTTTTCTTGGCTGCCTGAGTTTATGATACATGCTAACAACTTGACTTTTTTTTTCTAAAGAAAGTAAATATTTAGTATCCATTTTTTTTGTTTTAAGAATTCTCATTTTGATAGGAAAGAGGAAAGCAAATGAAGATTTTAATTTTATGCCGAAATCTGTTTTAACCTCAGAGCCCATGAGATTTTTAGGGACTATTAGTCACTTTACTCGTCCATTCACTTCCCTTTTATCCTCTCATTCATTGTGTGCTTTTGGGTACATGCTACATACAGGTCAGTTACATTTTATAGGGATTATAGCCTTACAATTTAACATCATGAACCTACGGCCTGAACTTCAAACTTATGGCTGTCAGTTAGCTTTGTTCTGACCTGATGTCAAGTGTTTTCTTTATTTCAGCTAATCTGTGGCCATTGCTTGGAGCAATGTCAAAGGCAGAGAGTATCTCATAGAATTTCAGGTATACAAAGGAACCTGAAAACATGTAGTCAAGTCCCTTTTTGATGTCTGAATCTTTTGGTTGTTAATTTGTTTTGGGTTTTTTTTAAATTTAAAAAATGTATGTGAGTAAGTTTTATATAATCCTCAAAGAGATGCATTGGCATGGTAGCTACAACAATGGCCTCTGACACAACAGTGGTTTTGAGGATGGTGCAGGCCTGGGCTGTGTTTTATTCTGTCACACATTAGGTCACTATGCATCAGAACCAACTTGACAGCGCCGACCGACAACATTATAAATTCATCAGTGTTGAAGCACAACAGGGTGGATAAGAGGCAACATTTCAGAATCAAGTTGCAAAAACAAATACACAGATATCAAAAAATATGCCTTGAGTACAATTTGGCATTTCTTCACAAAAGCTTAACATAGAGAATCTCTGTATGACTCAGCTATTCCACTGCTATGAATATACCCCAAGGAAATTAGAACTGAGACACAAATGGAGATTTATACACCCATGTTCACAGCAGTGTTATTCACTATCACAAGAACATGAAACAGCACAAATGTCCAACTACAACTGAATGGACTGGGACATTGTGGTACATTCACACAATGGAATACTATGCAGCACTCAGGGACATTGGTTTAGAAATATACTTCAGAATTTAAGAGAGACTGGAGAGCATTATTCTAAGTAAACTAATTCAGTCTCATAAGGATAAATACTGCATATGACCAAAATTGTAGAAATAGAAGAAAAATTAAGAAAACATGTTTGGCATATAAGGAGCAAAGTGGTGGGAGCAGAGGGGTGAGGATGTGCATGGGGGAAATCACATTGTCTCATAATTTTGTGGGTAGAAGGTGGGGGGTAAAGGAAGTGGGAAAGATCTGGCAGGAATCTGAAAAGATGGGATAATGGTGAGCATAGTCCAATAGTGATTAATTTTATAAAACACAGTGTATGGGAATGATTCTTTTTTGTTTTTTGGTTGTTTTTTTTTTTTTTTAGGAAACTATAGTTTTATAATTGATACTTATACAAAGAATTCTGAACTTATTAACACCACTCTATCATTTCCTCCCCTTTTTATATAAGTCTTATATCTGTAAGACCAACATACCACCCCATCATTCTCTCCTCTTTTTATGTAAGTCTTATAAGACAAACATCTGGGTTGATTATTAGGGGAGTTATTTGTGGGTTCCCCATTTGGGAATAGGGACACAGACTCTATGGTTGCTTCATGTTGAACTGGGGCATTGAGATGGAGGGGAAGGGGAGCC